GATATTGTTCACAGTTCATGCAAACAGTGTCGTCCATGGTGACTTTACTGGGGTAGGTTCGACCCCTTTTCATTAATTTTGATTTGATCGAGACGCGAGTTCTAGCCTAACGTGCTTATTCATGGTGATGGCACTGCGTGCGTCGCTGACTTCGGTCTTTCCTTGATGTATTCGGAAGTTATAAGCGCCTCTCAGGCTTCTTGGACGTCCACGCTGAAAGGAAACATGCGATGGATGGCTCCTGAGCTGCTCGTTGAGCGAGATGATGGATCTCAAGTCCGGCCAAGCGAGCAGAGCGACATGTGTTCATTTGGCGGTATCATGCTGCAGGTACGTCTGGTTTATTTTTTGGCCTCTAATTTCATATCACAGGCTGCACTCGTAGGTCCTCACCAACAAAGCACCCTACTATCACCTCACGAATGATGCTGCCATCATTCTCTGCATAGCCAAGTCGCAAACGCCTTCCCGATCTCGTTATCCCGAGCTCCCTGAACGATACTGGCAGTTCATTGAGAAATGCTGGTCTACCGATCCCCAGGACCGCCCATCGACGGAGGAAGCTGATATGACGATCAGGAATGAATATTACTCGCTATCGAGATCTGGTTGATTCTTGATTTGCATCCAACAGTCTGTTTAACAAAACGAAGCACAGTAACATGGTACTAGTACCTATACTGTAAACGTAGGCTTAATCCCAACATCTCCTGCAATGTGATATGAAAATGCTGTAGTTACTGGTCTGAACCAACTCCAGCAGCCAAAGCACTCTTGAGTAAGTTATCCATCTTCAATACACCCTATCATTCTTAATGTGAGAGCTATTGACAGGTCGCGTATTGCTCTTCCGTATGTACTTGGTCAGCGAGAGTTTTGCTGGCAATGACTCAGACCATGACTTTGGCATCAGCGAGGCCTGCCGCTACAGCAACGTACACAATCAGAACGTGCACAAGTATCCAACGAACTTCACGACACTAGAGCCAAAGGAGGTGCCACGGCGTGTTGTCATCAATGGCTGCACTGTGTTTGGAAATGAATTTTTATTTCCGTCATTCTCATTTCACCCCGCAGACGACTAGAACATTCGCAATGTGGGCATCACCACCTGCGCCACGATTATTTTCCGATGTACCTGTGGTGAACACGGTCTGATCAAAATAATTCGAGACGAGGACAGGCACGTGAGCGACGAGTCGAAGATAATGACCATTAGCGTTTTTCGAGACGCTAAAGCGAATACCGATACTGACGCTGTGCATTTGTGCCATCGACTTATTTGCCCATACCAGTTGAACCATGTTCGATAAGCTCGTCATCGGTATCGGCCACATCTCCAGAGCTTCTTTGTACAAAAGTAGCCTCGAACATCCATGGCACGAGAACTACATATGGTATGTGGTGATATGTATTATGTTGGGAAGCCTAAATGCAACATACATATAGAACTACATGTACTAGAACGGAACACGAACTGGTGGGCCCATCTAGAAGGTCATCGACATACCAACTGCCATCCTCAATCACCGGAAATCTGAGAAACAACATGTCTTGGAGTTGCCGATCCAAAACCCGAATCTTGAAAATAATCCAACATTCAATCACAGCTGACTTGGATCAGAGTTTGAAACGATTGATTATCATCGATGGTAATTGTCATACATCCATGATGCTGACAACCCCAACAACCAGAGCAGATCGAAGGAAGCCTCGGATCTCCGCTACGAACGTTCCAGGGAACAGAAGCTCAACATGTCACCGGGTGGAATACTACGTCTTTGGGTGAAGATCTAATCAAAATTCGAGGGCATGGTCAATCAGGCGAATTGGGTGAACCGTGTATGTCTTCTTCCTATCTGCCGCATGGACCCCTGAAACAATTGCGACCAGGCCCGTTGACTGATGCGGAACATTGCGGCGACACGACTTGGACGCGCGAGTCTATTTGTTTAGATTGGCAAGCAAGGTACTTATGATAACCGCCTCATGTTTTGGGCGTCCGGCGAGAGGGTAATGCTATAAAACAGGTTTAAAACACCTCATCACACGCACCTCTGCAACTTCAAGCAAGACGCTATCCCCCACACTCACAAAGACCACGTCAACCGTGCTGCAGCTTCACTAAAATGGCGGGGCTCATTCCAAACACCACACCCACTCGAACATTCGAAGATCACGAGGATTGCGTGATCGCACTCGCAGTTTTCCGCGGCCATGATGAACGCATGGTCACGGGTTCGTACGATGGGATGCTTCGTCTATGGGACTTGAAAACAGGTGTAGTGTTGAAGAAGATGGAGGGGCACCGCAGTCAGGTGCGGGCATTGGCTATCTCACCAGATGGCCAATGGATAGCAAGTGGTGATGAGAGCGGAGAACTCATCGTCTGGCATGGAAAAACTGGGGAACCACTTAGTCAAGCACTCGATAAAGCTCACAGCAGCTGGATATTTTCGCTTGACTTCTCTTCGGATTCCAGGATGCTGGCCAGTGGATCATCTGACACTACCACGAGGCTATGGGATACATCAACGTGGCAGGTAAAATATACACTGAATTGCGGTGGGACTGTCCACTGCGTTCAGTATTCGCCACGGCCGATAGGCAATTCGCAGGCACTTCTTGCAATTGCAATGAACCATGGTGTCCAAATTTATCAGAAGTATAATGATGGTTACTACAGTCGAGATCGCACACCGCCACCTCCATTCCCCACTCAGTTGATCAGAACGATTGGTGGAGGATCCTAGTACTCACTCGCTTGGGCGCCCGATGGCTCGCGGGTTTTCTCGGGAGGTGACGGGGATGATCCCACCATACGAGAGTGGGATGCATCGACCTGGAAACAGGTCGGTGATCCCTGGAAGGGCCATTTCAAGAATATCAACGCCATTTCTCTGAACTCTAACGGCACTCTCCTTGCCTCCGCATCTTATGACAATCGTGTCTGCCTATGGCGACTCTCAGATCGACGAAATCTTACCACATTCAAGCACTCTGGAGAGGTGAAGTGCGTCACGTTCTCTGCGGATGACAAGCGCATCCTCAGTGGAGGTTTGGATAAAAAGATTTCAGAGTGGCCAACATCCGAGGACGCTTTGCCAGAGGATGCTTCACAGGATGGCCTCATGAAGGAGCTGGGGACGCACCAGGTACGTTCGTTTTTATTTTCCCGTCAATTCATCATCTAAGCATCTTGTTTAGTGTCAAGGCTCAACCTGCTCCGAGTCTAAGTTCAAGGCACGTTCCCACCTTTGACTGTTATAACGCAATGTGAACATGATTTATGCAGGTCGTCGCTATGAACTCGACAGTCCGCAACGCATGCATAGCTAGGAAATGGCCTACCGCTACAAATATGCTAGATCTAGATATTGAGTCTAACGTCCATCATACCGCCTATGCCAATCGCGCATTTGTTATGGCGCGACAAGTGTCACTGGGACCGAGCGCTTCAAGACGCAATCGGGTGAGATTGACTGACCCATCTTGACCTCACAAAAGTTAACTTTGACGATGGAGTAGTCTGTCAGCATTCAGCCATCGTTAGCAGGCCATATCTCAAAGGGCATTGCCCTATGCGGGAAAAAGCAGGGTTCTGGCTGCGAGGATATCATTCGACCTCGCATCTATGTTTACGACCGATTTAAAGACCGATCACTTCCTGTTTTTGATCAAGGCAGGTAATATTTTTTCTCACATACTTCGTGCTTCATTGCTGTTTTCAGACCATTGCGTTGTTCAATGCACATGAACATCAAGAGGCAATGCTGCGTATCCGAGAGCTGGCTGCGTCTCCCTGATGTCGATCCTGTTGCTTGTCGTATCGTAGAAGTGAGTACCATTCGCTCGCTCACGCCGAATTCATTGATTCTTGGCCTTCGTGCACCAGGCCTACCTACGCGTCCAACTGGGAAGTATTGCCTTGCAGGGCGCACGCTACAACGAAGCTGTTGAACATTTCACTGCCGCCGCCAATGCCAGCACTTTCTTTTACAAATCGCCAATTCATTTGACGTACGATGAACTTGTCGTGGTACGCTGATGACTCAACCTAAAATTCATTTGTGCTCAACTGCGTGTCTTCCACAGCTCTTTGGCTGGGACCTCAAGTCCTTGTGGAAAACTGCGAACCAGCAACAGTGTTATGCACTCTTTCTAGCAGGTAGTTTTGGAGCAGCTATCGAATCGTATCAGTCTATGATGGATAAGATTGATGAGGATATGAAGGTCGAGATGTGTGCTTGGTTCACCGGTAAGTATTCGATAACATTTCACTGTCTATGATAATCATCAACTACACTTCACCCAGCTCTCTAGTAAGATCGAAACGCGCTCTATGCTTCCCATGGAGATGGTGCGCTCGTAACGAGCGGTTACTCGTATAGTTGGAAACGCAGATATTCAAGTAGTTTTCATTTGTATCTTGACGGTAGCTGTATTGCTAAAATAGCCCTTGGTGTTCGTATCATATGATGGATCTACAACATTGTGCACGTATGAGCTGCCGTACCCCAAGTCCCCTGCCACATAGTATACATTACAACAAGCTCAGTGACGCCTTCGTCGAATAAACAGTTTGGGGTGCTCAACTCTACATCGTTTCATTTTCCATGTGATCAAGACTTATATTAAGTACCAGCCTAATAATTGAGTGGGGCGAATAACTTGTGCCTAAACAAGCAGATTTGATGGACATGAGGTAGCGGATAACAGCGAACGCTGTGCAATGCACAGGTGGCCGCCGAAGGAGCGTGTTGGGAAGTACAAAAAGTTGCGAGCACATTCCATCAGGAAAAAACAAATTTTGTGGGAGCCTGGTGAGAGCTATGTAGCACTACATAGCTACCATAGTTCTATGTACCTAATGTAGCCGTGACTCAGACTATATAGATCTACAGCGGGCTACAGCAGACTACAGCAGACTACAGCGGACACTTGGAGGCACAATAGTCAAATTGAAGTCTGTAGTCAATAGTAGCTGAGTAGCAACAAAACTAATCAATAGCGGACATGCAGAATGTATCAAGGTCAATAAAGCTATTTAAGTAAAAATCACTTGCGGACTCATAGACATTTGCGCTAGTCCATCCACGGTCAACAGCTTGTCCCATCCTCGGAATAAGATGGCAAGGACGAGCGATTTCATCGATGTGTATCACCGCTGCATTCCGGTGCAGCCGACGAGTTGAACGCGACAATTGGTGCAGGCCAGATGAGCGGTCTGGCTCCCTGAGTGGTGTGAACCACTCAATGTAAGCTAAGGCTCGCGAGTAGGTCCCAAATTGACGCGGCAGAGTGAAAATAACGCGAACCTGTCCCACTCGCATACCTAGTAAAATATTAACATAAATTTTTTGACGGCTCAACAAATAGTTAGTACTCACCTTCTAAAGTGCGCGGCTGAATGCCATTGCTTGTCAGGGCCATATCAAACTTAGCGGGAGATCCAGGCTTGCGTCCACGTCCAGGAAGCACTTCAGGCGTGGCTCTAACACGCCACTGCCTTGGTGATTCACTGATGAGTGGATTAGGCGGAGCAGTGATTACTACCTGTCGAAAAACATCGAAACGGTCTTGCAGACCAGGGGCAATGATAGCGTGCGGCATGTGGTTGCGCAGAAACAACTTAAGGGCTGGGAGGAACATGGATGCACCATGTGCAGTGACGAGGTGCTGAACCGAACGCTGAGGGTATGCAGGCGTTTTAGCGAGAGAGTGGACTGTTTGTTGCTTAGGGAGGATGGGAAGTGTATTGACAGGGACAGTGTTTGGCCCTTCCATTTTTGAGTCCAAGTCCGAGTCATATCCGTGGTCACGAGTGAAATTGGTTGGTGCCGACTGAGACTGTTCCAACAGCCAGTTGAGGTAGGAACCACGCAGGAAGACTGCCTCCTGGCGCTGGAGCCATAAGGCCATCTGTTCTTCATAATCGCGCTTGTTACTGGCGCGATACGCTTCTTTGGCGAAGTCGATGTGCAAACGTTCTGGAAGTTCACTGTTAAAGCCGTCTGTAGCGCCAAACAATAGGATAGACTGAACGTAGTGAGAGAGCTGATGTAATTTGGGAATATTAAAATGGTCGCGAATATCGAGTTGCTGCAAGACGTCCTTGTTGGCGTGAAATATCGCCAGAGTGCTTTCCAGGCCATTGAGGGATTCAGTTGAGTGAACTCGAAGCTGAGCATAGTATGAAAAATCTAGAAGTGCTCGCGCAACTTCTCTCGAAAAGAACACCGTCCGCTGGCGGGCGTGACGCTCGGCTTTCTCCGGTTTCTTTGATGACGTGAGCGAGGAACGTCATCCGCTTCAGTCACGCTTCGACCGTGCTTTCATTCATTTAGGCCCCCGGAACCGTTCGACATAGAGTACTGACCCCCCCATTTCCTTGCTCTAGATCGCAGCGAACACACCCAGCGCCACCTCCGACTCGCAAGGAGGTTTCTCCGTGGGGGGTGCCATTGCCCTGACATTGTTCGTCGTGTCCCTCGGTCTCTTCGTCACCTATCATTGGTGGAGGCTGCACATCCCACTCAAGTCATTTTTCGGCTGGTGCCCTTGTTTTGTCCCGATCCGCACCAACCATCGCAACACCCGCTTCGTGAACTGCCGCTCCACCATCATCATGATGACCCCGATCGTCAGCCATGCAGCCACCAGGGGCACATGCACCACTGCTGCAGCAGACTCGTTCTGCAGCGCTGATGCACGTGCGTTCGAGCAGAGAGCTGAGCTCTCTGTCTCGTCTGATGCCGGGACATCGCAGCCGTCTCAGGCTGCTGGTCCAGGAGATGCTGACCAGTCACTCCCTTTCACGCTTCGTTTCAAACCGGACGGTGAGCCGGAGATCCACTACCTTCCTGTGTGAGTTTCAGTTCCCTCTTTCCCCCTTTTGCTGAATTTAATGGGTGCGGGTAGCTACACGATGACCGTCAAAGCAATGAGGCAGCAATGCCTCCAGCTCAACCTACCTTTGTCAGGCACCAAGGCCATTCTTTGCGAGCGCCTCGAAGGCTTCAGTCGCGACCGAAACTTGTGGGATAGGTATGTGAAACTGTCATCCGTTTCAGCATGCTCACAAGTCATCTCATCTTCAAGCCTCAGGCCTGGGGCCCGCAAAGCTCACAAAGGCCCACGGACAGGTCCAGCAAGCAAGGCCAAGGCACGCCGCACGAAGCAGTCAACACAGCGTCGTGCTGAGTTGCTTGGTGACTGCGAAATGGCCTCTGACCCCACTGCCACCACCCGCTCCAAAGACACTCGCACGATGGCTGAAGTCGCAGCACTGTTGCCTTGGGTGAGTAACTGCTTCTTCCTGCCCCCCTCCTTTCACAATACTGATGCGCTGCATGGGCAGGCTGATGCTATCAATCGTGCATTCCCATATGCGCTGACAGATGGTCAGCTTGCACCAGCTGCGAGCACCCTGCCCTGCCCCACTCCTGCGAGCGCTGGTGCTGATGCGAGCTTGCAAGATGCAATTGTCCAGAGTGTGGGCACAAGGCTCATCAACATTGTCCAAGGTGCCCTCCTCCAGCTGAGTACAGTTCAGGTTGGGCTACCCGAGGCCGAGCCCCAGGATGCGGGCACCTCTGCTGGGTGTACACCAGAAGAACCTGCACCAGCCACGGAGACGAGCACCAAGAGGATGCGAGTTCTCAAGCTTGGGAATGGCACATTGCTGCAAGTGGCTGACGACGAAATCCCAGACCCACCTGCCATCAGTTTTGTCAACGACATCCCTCGGCTCAATGGAATGTGGGATGATTGCACGGAGCATTGGCAGGGCACGTCCATCATCAACATACAAGGCCACCCGATTGCAATCGAGTACTGGCCTTTGCTCTATCGCTATGGCCATGATCAGCAATGGAAAGGTACGAAAAACAAGTGGACTGACTGGTGTGTATGTGCAAGCTTCTCCTAGCTGGCCTTGACTGATCTAATTTGTTGTTTCACAGGACATCGTTGAGCGGTACCGACGAGGCACCCCAGAACAGTTCTGGGCCAGGTTCAGGGCTGCCAATGGTGAGCCTCTGAAGTTCACTGCCATTGTTCACAGGCTTCGCGAAGAGCGCAAGGAAGCAAACTTTGCACTTGTGGAGCAGTGCTCGCGAGGAATATCGCTCAGACTTTTTCTTTACTTACCGAAAAGGAGGTGAGGAGCACACCATGACGAGGCCTGTCTGCGATTGCAAAGAAATATAAGGAACTCATGGTTAGCAACTCGAAAGGAGGTCTGTGATTGATTTGTAGTAGGCTCTACTTGTCGTTACAATGTAAATTTTATCTCGCTAGTATGACCTTATGGACTGTGATATTCATAAACACATTTCCTCAATCAAAGTGTGATCAAAATGTAATCAACACCATTTTCAGCCCCTAGCTGCCAGCCCTACATGCACCAATTTCCCGACTTCTGCTGCAAAAACATGATCAAAAACTTGAGTTGACTTTCATTGTGAATCATTGGCATCAGTCACACATTTCCAATCAAGCCTCCATTCTAAGAATGGAGGCTTGTGATTGGAAATGTGTGACTGATGCCAATGATTCACAATGAAAGTCAACTCAAGTTTTTGATCATGTTTTTGCAGCAGAAGTCGGGAAATTGGTGCATGTAGGGCTGGCAGCTAGGGGCTAAAAACGGTGTTGATTACATTAGGGGCCCTCCCAGAACTTGAACTTAAACCGCTTCGACATCACTCACACTTGTAACTTGGGAATCCATCACACTTACAGTATCTAACTACTAGGTACCACTCAAATTTCATCTCCACTGAACAAAGACCTGCACTGACAGCATTACTACTGCAGTCCAACCTACTATACTAGCTGCCATGTCGACACCGTTCAACGAATACACCAGAGACACAGGCAGCAGCAGTCCTGAGAACTTGAATGTTGAGATTCATGCCGTTGATATCCTCCATTTTGCCCGTCTTGGTTTTGCAGCATCCATCAAACTACTCTCAGAGCAACATGGGTTTACCGAAGGTGTCATTCAGAAGGTGTACAGACAACTAGAAAACTATGCGGAGGCCATGGACATCATTGAGATGATGCGAGACGATGCAGAGGAGCGGGCAGTAACTGAGATTTTGAAAAGACACGAGGGTGACAGTGATGAAGACTTAGAGGAGGATGAGGGTGTCAATGGCCCTAAGGAGAGTAAGGATGCAAAACGAGATCAGGATCAGGACGAAGTCAAAGAAGAGGAGGAGTAAACGAGCATGTTGCACAGTTGCTGTCAATATACATGGAGTGCTGTATACTATCTAGGCTAGAGTCCTTGCTGAAAATTGCTTCATCGTCGCCTCGAACATATAAAATTCAGCCACAAGGGCAGCATCTCCCGCAGTGGGGGCACTTGACAGTGGGAGGTCTATCAGGATTGAAGAAATGCTCCCTTGGCTCAACAGGGTCGTCGTTCGATGAGATGAGATATTTGACTATGGTCAGATTCGAAAATTCGGCACTCCAGCCTCCCCACTCACAGATCTTCCTTAGCGCCCAACGTCTTTCGACATGTAGGTACTGGCAGCCTCCTCGTCGGAATGAGTGGGTGCCATATGGGGCCGGATCGATGCCTATGTCCAGCAAGTTGTTGCGGAAAAGCTCTAAGAATTGTTCGGAGGTCTGTAAGTTCATCAGCAATGTTTCTGGCTACCAGAGCATCACCAAAACTCACCATTGGGGTGTTGGCCTCCGCTATGCGGTCACCTGAGGCTATTTTTCAAAAAACATACCCAGACTTGATCCTCGACTCGGACAGCCAGGCTGCGAGGGCTCTGACAGGGCAGATGTGGGCCTCGTGTGGTGGGAAGGCCCACAAGTGGAAGGGTTTGATATCTGGGTGATAGTTAGTAGATATGAAAACAAAAATCAACCTTGGCACATCACACACCTCCATTCTGATGCGTCTTGCGGAAAGGAAGGTGTAGTGTCACTCCCTTCTCGAACACTCCAAAGTCGTGCACCTGGATCTTGAGGACTTCGTCGAAGCGCAGCATGCACACAAATGCTATGGTGTATGCGGCCTGCAGCAGCCTCCGAGCACGGCCGCCGCCCCAGTGGTGTGAGTTGAGGCGCTCGCCAGGCTGGTAAGGCTGAATAGCCCAGTTTTCATCGAGGTGGTTGTGGTGGTAAAGTTTGAACAGAATGTCCTGTGAGGGGTTGACTATCATTATCCATGACTCGGGAGGCCAGACATTGCTCACCGTTGATATGGAGGGATTGCCAACCATGACACCACCTCCAACATCCGACTCGTGCCACCACATATTTCCAAGCCCCTGGAGCCTACCAAACGCATATGTCATAGAGGCACGCATCTTTTGGGCATGCCCATATGTCCCTCGCTCTTCATTCAATGGCTTCTGCGTGCCATCAAGGTTGATCGAGTCGCACCTTCGAATCATCATCAGCCTGTCCGAGCCAGAGAGTGTGTCACTCACGAGTTCATGATCCAGGCCACTATCAGCCATGGTGTGTCAGCGCGTGGTCTCTTGCAAAAAAAAACCTCATTTTTGCGCAGCAAGTGCAAGCTAGTGAGGAAAGCAACTGCCTGATTCATTAGCCTGCCATAAGTAGTAGTCCACCTTCAGTAATCGTGAGGGTCAAAGAAAATACGAACACGAACCTCCTGTATTCCGAGTCTGTGCCTTCAGTAACACCTTTGGACGCATCCATGAGCATGGACTGGAGCTTTGCGAAGTCAATGGTGCTGTCTGTTGGCCTCGAGAGCACTGATTGAAGGGGCGCATCAACGAGAGTCTCCTGCTCAGCAGTGACATCCTCTGCAATGTCATCCATTTCGAGGCTGCTGGCTGATGTGGATGGAAGGAGACCGCATAGACCTGGAAAGTGTTGAATGGACTCGGGTAGTACGGTAGACATGATGGTTTGAAGGTACGAGGGAGCGCTCACCACGAAACCCCTCTCGAAGATGAATTTGAAATCAAGCCACTTGCCTGGCAGTGCTGGCACGCGGTTGGGTTCGAGAACCTGGGGTTGCGAAGGGGGAAGGGACAAAAAAATAAGTGAGAGCCAAGCCAAGTCTGGACGGTCTGGTGACACACCTGGGACCGTCTTAGCGCTCGCTCGGACAGTCATTTTTGTTGGTGGGCATGCCCTGCTATACCTAGCCTCCCTTGGCTTTGCAGGGAGGCGCACTCGTCCACCAGAGGTTTCTCTGCTGAAAAATGACGGTCTCAGTTGCGTGACATCGTGAAACAAAGCATTCACGAGAAAAGTGACTCACCCAGAAGAGTCCGAACACGCTCGATCGTTGCCGTCATGCAAAGCTGTCCATCAGAGAGTCCCTGGAAGTTCTTACTTAGTGCTGGCGAGATACTTGTATTCAGCAGTGAGCGGAGGAGCCTAAAATCGAAGCACACACCTTTTGTTTTGAAATCGGTTGCTAAAACAGCGCGATCCGCCACGGATCCGATTCTCGAGATCCTTGCAGGGGCAGAAGAAGAGGGAAGGCAGGAGATGACAGCACGAGCCACGAGCATACTCGTGCCACCATATAAAAATGGTGGTACTGGTAGCAGTCACCCTCTTCAAAGTGCCGTTCTCTTCCCAACCAACATCCCTTCCCGTCCCTTCTCCAAGAAAACCAGGCTGGCCAGAAAGCACGATGCCTTCGGTGAGTTGCTCGATTTGTTGTGCCTTCGCCTCCATGATGTCCAGATACCCCCGTGTCATCCGAGTTTCTAGTACGAGAGGTTAGCATTAGCATCAGCGCTGAATGCTCTTAGCGTTCGCAACAAGGCTCACCTTCGTTCTTGATTCTCTCCTTTGTTCCTCCTCCCCGTTGCATGCCGGTGGTCGTGAAGATTCGATTCGAGGGGCAGAGATCCGGTGCCGGAACCAGGGGGGGTGGGTCCTCCGCATCGATCGAGCTGACGGCTCGTGTTGGTATCGGTTCAATCAATAGCTTGATGAGGGCATCAGTCACGAACGGTCACGTCGTGACCGTTCGTGACTCGACCGTCGTTTTTCGCGTTTGAAACGATACTTCTTAGAGGTGCCGCCAATTGTGCTTGATGCCTTGCCACAAGAGGCATATCTGACCTTACTCAGGTTAACTTGTAGCAGCTTAGTAGCTGACACGGACGACGATGCTCGCTTGTTTTTAGATGAATTTTGTTTTGTTGCTCTGTTGCGATTTTGTCCCCTCAAGGCTCCAGTCACGGTGACGTGGAGAGGAGAGGCCTCCTAAAATTTTCAGATTCGAAGTCCTCTCTTCAATCCTACAACCATGACTACGACGGTCGGATTCTTGTCGCTTCCTACAGAGCTCATATGTCACATTCTAATCCTTCTTAACCCCAGGGACATTAGTCGCTGTGCACTGGTTCGCTTTTCCCCATAGTTCCACAATTTTCTCCAGGGCTAATGTTTGATCATGCTAGACATGCAATATCTTGTGGCTTGTGGTCCGGAATTCTGTCTACATTCAATACAAGCTTGAAATTTATGCTCAGGGCTTGACTAGTACTGGGACCGCTACCATGAATTCGACCGGCGTGTCCAAAAAGACTCTGTGTTCGCTCAAGAAATTAGCATCTTTGTGGCGATCCGACTTCCATGCGTCCACTACCTTTGAAACAGTGGTCACTACTGTTGTCACATGGGAACGCATGTTACCGGCGATCCAAGATGTGAAATGTGGGCTTTGGTGGTCACACTCGCTGGACGAATACAAATTCTACATTCAGGGTTGTGGCACGAATCCTACACTCTCCCGGACATGGTCTATTGGTGATGTCGAGGGCTTTTTTACCTTCGACCCTCTGCAGGATCTTATGGTTGTGTGTTCTGAGCCTGATGATGTTGTCACTGTGACCGATGCAAAACAAGATTACCATGTCTGTTGGGTGGAGTTCCGACTGGGTTCATCCCAGTGTCCACATCCAAGTGCTGCGTGCACTTCCTTGGAGTGCAAGCATACCTTTGACTCGGATGCACCTGGCTATTACCGTGCTATTTTGTCACCGCCTGTAATCTGCGGTGATCACGTATTTATCATCCATCACATAGAGGACACGGGTGATCGCCGCCATCCTAAGCCTGTGTCCGGCATGTTCATACAAGTGATCGATTGGAGGAAGGGATATGTGAATAGGGTGAGTTCCCTCTGTTTGTGAAAATTCTGCTACTCAGCATAAGCAGCATTTTTTATGTCAACTGGATTTCTGCGAGTTAGATCTCTTCTATCCAGTGGATGAACAGAAGTTTGTCATCATTGGGCCAGAATCGATATATTTGTACACGTTACAAGGGCTCGATGAGCCGCCTCAGTGCCGAATCATATATCACCTTCCCAAGATCCTCCATCTATCATTATACGACTCGGAAATCATTGTTCATGGCCACCCGTCACTGCATGGCAAAGCAGCACACCCAGGACTCATGCCGAGCTATGTGCCCTCCCTGGAGTCGCAGATTATGGTTGTAGAGTTCCTTCCCAAAGTGGGGAAAGCTATCCTAGTCATCGATATGGCCATCTTCTCTGACACGGCCCTGCGCTCAGATATGCTCGTCGAGATTCCCTGGTCAGATTGGGGACCTCAGTATGCGTGCTACTTTCCGCACCACGAAAGCTACGATATTAGCGTGTTTGGCAGCAAAATGGCTTATGCTCTTCCCCAAGATCATATTCGTGATCCTGGTCAAATACTGGAAGGGCTCTCCAGTGAGGGTTACTTCTATGTGCAAATCTGGGACTTCAATAAACGAGTCATTCCTCGTTCGGAAAGTGTCAACGATCCTGACTCACCGGATCTTCGCATTTGCAAGCCGGGTCAGATGATTGACTCCTTTGGTGAAGACATTTTCTCGAATCGTGCATACATTGCAATGGTCTGTCGTACGCCATTTCCGACAGCTGGCTCCATTATATTCTTGGAACAGTATCGGCTTACTGTGACACGGGTACGCGTTCTTTGTTTGAACACAGGAACGGTCTGATGTGACCACATTGTAGGCTCGGCATCGTGAGATTAGTATCCAGGTCATTTCCCCCATCCAGACAGACGTTGGCCTGGACATTACAGAATAGACAGTTTGGAGCAAAACGGGTGGGACTCAGCGACGCCGATGTAGTTTTATTATGAGCAATATGCGTTGTGTTGGCAAGCAAAATAGTAAATTTGTTTTCGCAGCAAAACAGGCGGGGTATAAGTATTTGCCATCGGGGTTATATGCGACTGCCACAGCGTTGAACATTGAGGTCTGTCATTCTAGAGTTCAATACATAATCAATCTGAGTCGAGTGCTGATGAGCAGTCGGGGAACCAGGACATTGCTGAATGGCGACGAAGAATATCGCAGTGCTTCTATGCCACCGGCTTCCGTCTGCATCATCACCCTGTGTCACATCATGCATCATGCTGTGGGCATGGGTGAGAATATCAGCAGGCAAATGCTTAGATATAGTAGCAACGCAACCTGCATCATGATGACGCTCAATATGAGATAGTTGAAAGCAATAGCATTGGTACTTGCGCTAGTATTATGACTGACTCCAAAAAAGCTGTCCAAACACCGTGGGACCTCCTCATTGTGATCTAGACTTGCATACACATGGCCATGTACCGACGATTCGATTTTTTCGCCATGTAGATAGCAGGAGCAGAATTACATACTTCTGTAGTTCTCACGTGCACGGCTACAATGTCACGGACTCATGAATTCACTTGGCATGAACTGAACTAACTGCTTGGTATCCTGAATCGCATTCAAGAATGGTAACGATATGGAGGATTTGATGTTCCGTGCTGTTCACGAGAG